GTTATATGCATATATGTATAACCCATGGACACAGTTAATAACGGGGTGAAGGCCTGGGGAGGGGGTGGGAGTGAAGTGGAGGGGGTCAGTTGGGGGGGGGGAATAGGACACCTGTAATACTCTCAACAATAAAGATAAATTAAAAAAATGAAAAACAAACAAACAAAAAACAGTGCACTTACACTCTCTGGTCAAATGTAAGAGTGATGCATATAAAATTATATGAAAATGGGCACCACAAAAAGCCCCCAGTCCAATCCTGTGTCTTGACATATCTGTCCAAATCTACCTAGCCTGACCAAGGCAGCTTCCCAACAGCCTACTCAGGGCTGAATCACTGCTACAGAACAGACAGTAAGGATTGATGGAAGAGCTGGCTTCCCTACAACATAGATGAAGAGGACAGATTTGCTCAGAGTCACATGAAAGTCAGTGAACAAACCAGGATTAGAACCCAAATCAACTGGCCAATTTTTGTTTAATTGTGAAATCAATAGTAATTTGTATTGGATATAATGTTCGTAAAATGTTTACATGGCTTTTCCTAGGTTTTAAATTATTGATTTTCAGTTCCTTTTTATAAGAGCATTTAAAGAAAATTTCAATTTGTCATCTTAAGGATTAGGTCAAATATAATATCCCGTATTTTTTTATTACATTTTAATTCCAAAGAATTTATGTTAAATTCTCCCAAGAGGTGGAGGCCATAGAGAGGAGGCTGGATAGATTACCTAATAACAGTAGCAGCCAAAAATTAATGAGTACTTGGGGTGTGCCATGCATTAAGATAAATTCTTGACATTTCATTATTTCACTTGATTGTCACAAATTCATAGATTCTACTAAATTACCCAAATTGAGATTTAGGATTAGAATAGGACATTATAAATAAGATAACATGCCCAAAAGTGTCACATTTGGGAAAAAGAATCCAAATATCAGAGTCCATGTTACTGTACCTGTTTAACACATAAAAGAAAGACCGACATCATCCATCAAATTGACATGTGTATTTATTGCACAAATTTCCCCTAGAACTGGGAGGTTATTATAATACAGGTGTACATTTGAGAAATGTATACAGAACAAGAAACAGTATGTACATTTACCCACCATCTAAATAACTTTAAAAAAGCAGAACAATCTCATAAGACATCTACCAGAAATAGGCATTGTGTAAAATCATTGGTTTTTTTTTTAAGTGATCATCCCCAGTGTATGCCAATTGCAACAAATTAAATCTGTGCTGGTATGTTTATTGCACTTAACAATTTCAAATTCAAAATTAAGACATATTAATAAAAGCCAGGAACAGTTAAAATCAAACCAATTAGTTTATATACAAGGAAAAATTAGTTTGAAATCTATAACGTAAAAGATACCTTTTTCATTTCCTATTGCAACAAACAGGTTTTTAAAAATATGTAACACATATCTGTACCATAAGAAGCTGAAAAAATTATTTCAAACAGGCCAAAACTCTTTTCACATTCACCATAATGACGATACTTTAAAAAAAGCAGCAGCTTACTCCATGGGCTTTGTGTAAGGAAAAAATAACTATGATGAAGGTAGGAAAAATTACAGAAGGGCTGGGAATTATAAAGCTCAGGAATCCTATAAGGATTAATGATTCTATAAGAAACTATAGGCCTTTTCCTTCCGAGCAAAGCTTACTTTTAAGAAGAACAGTAGCATGAGCCATCCACTTATTGAAGACTAGATTTTCTAAATGATAATTTATTAGATTTCAAATAGATAGGACAGTGAATAGCTTGATGACTTAAAAAAAACATGCAAAACAGACATTATCTATCTGCTACATATCATTCTTAACTACAATAAAAAATGTACAATGGCTCACATACGAACTTTTCTATATTCTGAATTCTGCCAAAGAGATTGATTCACAGAATTCCAAACAATAGAATAACGAAGAATTTCATTAATGAATAGAATAAGAATATTAAGCAAAAGAAAATATATCCATAAACACTCTTTCACAGCAAGTCATCCATGGGAGACTCCAGTACTAACTGGGACCAGCTGATAGGACACAGGGGCCAAACTGATCGCAGGCACACCGATTTCAGGTTTACATTCCATTAAAACAATTGTTTCTTCTTAATCTAAGTTGGAGAGTTCCTGGATACATAGAGAGCAAGGCAAAATGTGAGCCAATGCTATAAATTAAAGGCCAAAGACTTAAACTACAGAAATCTTTTTTAATTACTGAAAATTCAAACAGCAAAAATAAATGTATTAGATAGGAAATGTATTTAGTAACAGAATAGCAGGTCGTTTTTTAAAGCTAATCAATTATGATAGAAATAGTCCATGAAGCAGAAACCAACTTCACTTCTAGAATTAAAGTATCTTAGACCAGATAAGTAAAGGATAAACTATAATGTAGTATTCAAGTAAACTGAGGTAGTAGAGCATACTGAAAACTTTACCTACCCATCTTTTTATTTACATTACTTACAAGAGTTTGGTTCCATATTAGCCTTTCTCAGAAGCAACACTCTATATACAAAAAACTGAAAAGTGAAAATGTTTGAAAAAAAGAGTAGCTTTTGGAAGAAGGGAAATTCAAGAAAAAAGTAATTTTAAGAATGAGTTCTGTTAGTGTAAAAAGAATATTATGAAGCTGTGAAACAAATATTTAGTTCCTATGGGTTCAAGAACGGCTAATGCCGAAAGCAAGGGCCTCGGCTACCTGAGCACTTTTGAATATTATTTTTGCCAATGCTTTGGTGCAATTTTTAATCCTAATTTTAATTTATTAAATTAGGTGCAAATATGTTATTAACATTTATAAGAATTAGCTTATACTTAAAAACAAAACAAATAGTATAAAGTAGTACTCTTAATTTTGGGAACTGACATTCCTCAACCTTAAAGAACAATTGGCTTTACTTATATTTTAAGGTATGTGAAACAGAAAAATCACCAGAAAGTAACATTTCAACATTATATACAATTAATACTAGTTGAAAATATACAGATATTTAAAAAGGCATGTTCACCAATCTTGTATTTCTACCTCTGCTTTTTAAAAAACTAGATACATATGTACAATTGGATGGACAACATAACATAGATTTACACTCATTCTTCTAAGTTTCTTATAATTAAAAGGCTATTTAAAATACTTTGAGAAATACCCCAAAATTAGCTATTCTGAATTGACGAAACAAAACAAGAAATAATCAAGGTTTGGTAAACCTATGTACCTTAGAAATAAAGAATTAAAACTAATGAAATGACTATTTCTGAGCCATTTAATCATGAAACATCTGTTGCTATTTATCAGTTGTGGCAACACTGTAGTGATCATATAAAATTCCTCAATGTTATTCATTTTATAGAAATTCCTAAGTTATACTTTGGCCTTTTCAAATGCTTTCTCCCCAAATTACTTATGCTGTCTTAGTTTCACTTGGTTAAAAATCTACCATCACCGAAAAAGTCTAGTCACAAATGCCATAATGCACGTTGTGTCTGCTTCCTTGGTTTCTGTTTAACATTTCAAATAATCATTACGTTAAAGGAGTATCTGAGCAACATATGGAGAGTGAGTGCTTGCTACAGCAGCCAGAAGAGGAAGATCACTGGATTCAATTCTGAAATTAAGAAAAAAGAGAAAATCTCAGTCAGGCTTTCTATACCCAAGACATGAGTCCTACAAGCAATGACTGCTACCTGTAAAGTCACTATACCTCAGCAGTCAAGGACCTAGGCTATACTGGCCAAAAGATAAGAGAGCTGAAGATAGCAACAGTTGGAAATATTTCAGTCAGTAAAAACCCAAACCAAAATTTTTTTTAAAAGAAAGCATCTGAAACCCAATGGTAAAGTCATGGATGTAGGAAAGCATCTCACATGCATCAGGGCAATGGACAAGGTCTAAGAAAATACAATATAGGATAGTAACAGGATAATAGTGTGCATCCATATTGTTTTGAATACAAATGTTTCTATAATAAGACATGCTGAAAAGAAATAATGAAAGCATCTTAAAAATACATCCTACCACAAATAATTTACAGGAAAAGAAAAATGCCCCAAAAATATAGAAACACTCACTCAGGCAGACTGATTCATGGTTAGAGAATAAATAAATCTAAATAAGTAAAGTATACTCAGATTTCATTTCTCAGCAAGTAGCCTAAAAAAGATGAAAAAGTTGGTAACAGCCAGTAGCAGGAAGAGTGTGCTTCCTGCCATTCGTGAGAATTTATTCTGGTACTTACTAGATAGCATTTAACTATTACATATCAAAATAACTATCAATATCTATCAAAAATTTAATGCACATGCCCTGTAACCAAAACTTCTACTTCAAATAATTTATCCTAAAAAAAAAAGGAAATACAGCAGATCCTCGAATAATGTCCTGTCGTTCAACATGGTTACATTATAATGATAATGAGATGCCATAGGAACTTAATTCTTGTTTATATCAATTAGCACATGGTAAAGCTGGTTTCATTTTATGTCATTTCGCTTACAGTTGCAGAACCTACTAAAGATGTTAAGTGAGAACTTACTGTTACATAAATTCCACCATATAATGGAATGCTATACAGTCATTAAAAATAATAAGATAGATCAGTATGTGCTTATATGAACAAACATTCAAGATCTATCAAAAGGCAAGTTGCCCAATGATATATAGAATATAAATAAATTTTTTATTTTTTATCGTATACTTTAAAAAATTGTCAGAAGAAACAATCCATTAACTGTGTTTGGTTGAAGGTGGCAAGTTAGGGAAAAGACTATGAGGACTTGCTTTTCAAGTTATGCCACAATGCACTATAAATTTTGGCAAAATCCACATTACTTTAAAAACTACTTAACATTTTTTTTAAAATAAAGGCATTATGCACAGAGAATCATCTATTTCCAATCTGGATGGTAAGGAGTAACATTAATGAAAGAATTTGATTTGGCTTCTGACATACAGTAGCTACTTGTTATGCTGGCTCTTTCTCCTTTCATAAAAATTGAATTAGACAAAGGTTCTGGCTTGTTTTAATTTACTCAACTAGCATTTCAAGAATAATTCATACACACACACACAGGCCATAGAACATATGTGACCACAGAACATAATGGTGCTATAATATGCCTCCCACCAATTTATCTGTTCCTCCTTCAGTAAGCATTTTAGATAACTGTCTTCTTCCCAAGAAGAACTGTAGAGTAGACTGACATAGATAATGGGGAAAGAGTAATAATATGTAGATAATGTACTACCATCCAGTGTGCTGTTATTTTAATCAGCTCATTTGGATGGCAGAGAGGAGGCTGGGAAGGAGTTTTCAATATATTTAAAAATAAATATTACTTATTTTCCTAAGACAAAAATTTAGATTTAATTCATTTTTAACTGACTATTCTCAACTTACTGTAATGCACAGGGGACAATGCATTTCAGGTCAGTGGAAGACAGGGATCTGCTCTTATGTGGTACAGAGGAACCTGAATGATAACAGTGTCCAACTTCTAACAGGAAAAGACACTTAAAAGAAGTCAATTCTGAGGAATAGCTCTTGCTTGAAGACATTATAATGGGAAAGCAAAGCCAGAAAAGAAACCATGAACATACCCTAGAACAACTCCCAGCTCCTTGACATGAACACGCATCTGCCCCCTCAGGTACTCAGACAGCATTTTGCTCTTGAAGTACAGCTCCTGTAACCGGTCTTCAAGATGCATCACACACTGCAGTTAGGGGAAACCAGGAACCAGGTCAGAAAATGGTGTCCAAATCTAAGTGATGGCAATTTCTAAAGCATCATATTTTTGACAATTCTACTTAGTTACTCCAACATAAACTAAAATTTGGAGCACATTTTTTTAAAATTGAATTTACTGGGGTGACATTGGTTCACAAAACCATACAGGTTTCAAGTGTACAACTTAATAAAACATAAACTGCGCACTGCATCGTGCGCCCATCACCCCAAGCAGTCTCTTTCCATCCCCATTTTCCCCCACTTTACCCGCCTCCACCGCCTTTTCCCTCTGGCTAACACATTGTTGTCTGTGTCTATGTGTTATGTATATTTGCTTTTTGGCTAATCCCTTCACCTCCTTTCGTCCAGCCCCCCACCCTCCTTCACTCTGACAGCTGTCAGTCTGTTCCACGTATCCTTGTTTCCATTTTGTTCATCAGTTTATTTTGTTCATTAAATTCCACGTATAAGTAAGATCACATGGTATTTGTTGTTCTCTGACTGGTTTATTTCACTTAGCATAATAATCTCCAGGTCCATCCACACTGTAGCAAAAGGTAAGACTTTTTTATAGCTATGTAGTAATCCATTGTGTAAATGTACCACAGCTAATTTGAAAGAATACATGCACCCCTATGTTCATCGCAGCACTATTTACAATAGCCAAGGTCTAAAAATAGCCCCTGTGCCCATCAGTCGATGAGTGGATAAAAAAGCTATGGAGCACATTTTTAAAGCAAGTAATTTTAGCTAAAGAAGTGTAAACTTTTTTCTAGCTCATATCAAAGATTTTGAATTTACAGAGTTGTGTGTTTAAAAGTGGTAAATTACACACAATATAAAATTTACAATTTATTTCAAAATTGATAAATATAACGCTTATAAATTAATATATTTCAAATGTATTTACATAAGATAGGCTGCATTCTCCTGAAGAGAGTAAAAGAAAACAAGTTTGCAATAGCTCACAGTGAATGAACTGTAGTCCTTATGAGATAGATGTTTATAAACTTAAACATTAAAACTTAAAACACATTTCATTTATTGTCAATTAACTTGCTCAATTTATTAAAATAGGTGATTTGTTGTCATTGTTAATCCTCATCCAAGGATTTCCCCCCCATTAGTTATGAGAGAGAGGGGAGGAAGAGAGAGGAACATGGAGTCAGAGAGACACATCGATTGGTTGCCTCCTGCACGTGCCCCAACTGGGGCCAGGGATCAAACCTGCGGCCTAGCTATGTGCCCTTCACGTACCTGCCCTTCAGTGCACAGGCGAATGCTCTTAACTGCTAAGCCACACTGGCCAGGGCTAAAATAGGAGATTTTTCATGTGAACTAATGCTCTATTTGTTTGAGGAAAAAATGTGAGGTACAGGTGTTAAAAATACTAAATCCTTGCAGAGCATCCCTTTCCAATGAAAATCAACCATTAAAGCTCCTAGTAAAAACCTATTTTCCTCTTAGAAAAAACACAACTGACTGGATTTCTTGCCACACTTATTGTTTTATGGTGTATATTTTTTCTATAAATGCTCACTTAGGCTAAAGATGCCTTAAGTGGAAAAGAAAATGTTTACAAAATATCTATATTTAATAAAATTCATATATATAGATATTTAATACAATTTATCCACTTTTAAGTATATAAATCAGTGACATCAGGACATTTACAATGTTGTGCAACTATCATTAACACCCATTTCTAGAACTTTTTTCCATTATCTCAAACAAAAACTCTATACCCATTATACAATAACTCCTCTTTCTCTCATTCACCCCAACCCCTGGTAACCTCGATCTGCTTTATGTCTCTACAAATTTCCCTATTCTAGATACCTCATATAAGTGCAATCATACAATATTTGTCCTTCTGTGTTCTGCTTACTTCACTTAGCATAATGTTTCAGGGTTCATCCATGTTGTAGCATGTATCAAATTTTCATTCCTTTTTATGTCCGAATAACATTCCATTCTATGTATTATACCACATTTTGCTTATCCATTCATTTGTTCGTGGACATGAGCTGTTTCCAACTTTTGGCTATTATGTATAATTTTGCTATGAACATTATGGTACAATTATTTGAGTCCCTGTTTTCAATTGTATTGCATATAAATCTAGAAGTAGAATTTCTGGATCACATGACAATACAGTGTTAAATGTTTTGAGAAACTGCAAAACTATTTTCCATAGCAGCTGCACCATTTTACATTCCCACTGGCAATGCACAAGGGTTCCAATTCCCCACATCCTGGCCAATACTTTTGTTTAATTATTATAGCCATGCTTATTGGGTGTGAAGTGGTATCTTATTTTGGTTCTGATTTGCATTTTCCTAATGACTAATTAGGTGAACACTTCTTCATGTGCCTGTTTGCCATTTATATATCTTCTTTAGGGAAATGTCTTCAGTTGTTCCTTTGTTATTGTGGAGTTGCTGGATATATTCTGGATATCAATCTCTCTTCAAATATATGACTTGCAAAGATTTTCTCCCATTTTGTGGGTTGTCTTTTTACTGTTGATAGTGTCCTTCAATACAAAAAAGTTTTTAATTTGATGAAGTCCAATTTATCTATTTTTTACTTTTGTTGCCTGTTCTTTCGGTGTCAAATCCAAGAAATCACTACCAAATCCAGTGTCATGAAGATTATCCTGTTTTCTTCAGAGTTTGATAGTTTTAGTACTTAAAATGTTTAGGCTTGTTCCAGTTCAGGTTTAATTTTGAGTTCACTTTTGTATATGGTATAAGGTTATGGATTCAACTTAATTCTTTTGCATATGGATATCGTTTTCTCAGTATGAGTTGTTGAAAAGAATCCTTTGTCTTTGTCTTTTGGAAAGACTCCCTTGTCGAAAACCAGTTAACCATATATGTCGGGGTTTATTTTGGGGCCATTATATTCTATTGGTCTATATGTCTGTCCTTACGCCAGTACCACATTATTTTGATTACTGTTAATTTGTAGTAAGTTTTAAAGTCAGGAGGTGTGAGTTTTCCTACTTTGTTCTTCTTTACGAATATTGTTTTGGTTCTTCAGGGTCCCTTGACATGCCGTACACATTTTAGGATGGGTCCATTTCTTAAAAAAATAGTCATTGGAATTTTTAATAGGGATTGCATTGAAACAACAGATCACTTTGGGGAGTGCTGTCATTTTCATAATACCAAGTCTTCCAATCCTTGAACAATTTCATTTATGTCTTTAATTTCTTTCAGCAATGTTTTATAGTTTACATTGTACACGTCTCCTGCCTCCTTAGCTAAATTCATGCTCAAGTATTTTATTCTTTTGATATTGTAAATGATTTCTACATTTACTTTTCAGATTGTTCATTGCTAGTGTAATGAAATGCAACTATCTTTGCATACTGATTTTGTATCTTGAGACTTTGCTGAATTCATTTATCAGTTCTATCAGTTTTTTGTGTGGAATCTACATTTCCTACATATAAGATCATGTCATCTGCAGAGACAATTTTACTTCTTCCTTTCCAATTTGGATGCCTCATGTTTCTTTTTCTTGCCTAACTGCTCTGGTGAGGACTTACTATGTTGAATAGAAGTGGTGAAAGTAGGCATCCATGTCTTGTCCCTCATCTTAGGGGTATATTGTCAGTATTTCATCATTGAATATAACGCTAGTTATGGTTTTGTCATATATGGCCTTTATCATATTGCTGTACAGAGGTTTTTTAAACTATGCTAAATTATAGTTCTCCTAAGAAGAAAAAGAACCCCCAAAAGTTGGGAATACCGAAGATATTTGGTAAGAGGTCACCAGTATTACGAAGAGGAATCATCCAAAGTCCTGACATGACAATGAGGGTCCAGAATGCACTGGAATTCTGCACTTAGGGACACTGCATGTCCATACCTTACATTACACTAGTCAGGCACTAAATTATGGCTGCTGAAATTACAGAATATACTATACAGACTTGTACACATCTCATTTTTTCCTAGTCAGTTTGGGCTGCCATAACAAAATACCATAGACTCAGTGGCTTAAGCAACAGAAAATTATTTCCTCACAGCTCTGGAGGCTGGAAATCTGAGATCAGGATGCCAGCATGATCAGGTTCTAGTGAGAACTATTTTGCTGGCTGACAGACAACTGCCTTTTCCCTGTGTCCTCACATAGTGGAGAGAGTGCAATTTATCTCTTCCTCTTCTTCTAAGGCCACTAATCCCATGAGGGCCCCCCATCCGCATGACCTAATTAACCCTAATTAGCCCCCAAAGGCCCATCTCCAAATACCATTGCACTGAGTTAGGCATCCAACGTATGGATTTTAGAGAAACACAAACATTCAATCCATTACACCTTCTTTCAGGAAAACAATGATGAAGCTAACAGCAGTGTTCATGGTAGGCACATACTAGAGTTTAGTCACCTATTAGAGTGCTCAAATTCAAGCCTCACACATACTTACAAAATTTGGAGACAAGTTATGTTTATAAAGCTGAAGAGTGGAATGAAGCAGATTGGAAACAAGACTGGAAACCAATACTTCCTTTCCCAGTTTATTATCTGTCACTCGTCTCTGGCTACTGGCCACTTGCACAGTCCATTTATCCATATCTGCTATAATACAGACAGCTTCTGCTATTGGTTCATCCAACACTGGATGCTGGAAAAAAAAGAATAATTCATCTTATAACGAGCAAATGAAGTTTTCAAAGATAATGCTAATGGACTGAGGAAAGGAAGAGATATGAAATACCAACAGAATAAAAGAATATTAAATTATGACAGCTGCTTCCAATCATCATAGGTAGAGATCCATTACCAGAATTTTGTATTCTTTAATCCAGAATTTAACTTTCACTGATCTTTTGATCATTCGTTCATTCAACAAACTTACTGAATACCAACCATGTGCCAGGCAATTGGGAGGAACTGTTTTTTACCTTGAAAGACTTAATATTTCAAAAATAGATAGGACAGGGATTCACATGAACAAGTCAATGCTAAGGTTCTGTGCTAACTATCCTAACCTGTCAAGCATTAACTTGCTTCAACACCACAGGAGCCACTACTTGACTACATGAAGTACCTTGCTGGCTATGTGCACTATTTTACCAAGATGTATATCCAGAATATGGATACAGAAGTTAAAAGGAGACAAATAAACAGGTACTAATATGGTTAAATGGGGAAAAAAGTCACTCTACACACACACGGACAGTATACCCATTACCTCTTTAAAAATTCAGATCTATATCTAAATGAAAATTTATTTAAAAACAATGAAAATACTCAAATTGAACTATTTATCATGAAGATCTCTGAGAAAGTATGGAATATTAAGAGTATAAAGAACAATATGTTGCCCTGGACAGCGTGGCTCATTGGTTAGAGCGTCAGCCAGTGCACGAGATGGTCGTGAGTTTCATCCCGGGCTCTGGTAGGGGCAGGTTCGGGAGGCAACCAGTTTGATGTGTCTCCCTTACATCAATGTTTCTCTGTCTCTTTCCTCCTCCTCCTCCCCCTCCCCTTACACTCTCTCTAAAAATCAATGGAAAAAATATCCTCTGGTGAAGAGTAACAACAAAAAAAGAACAATTTCTTCTTTTTCCTTTGTATATCTTTATATTGTTTGCGTTTCTATCACAAGCATTTACTTAAATGACATTCTCACAATTAGAAAATTTACTGCATAGTGAAAAGTATTTTTAACTCACATATACGGATAAAAGGACCACAGGCACATGGCTGTGCTTTTGGATTTCCATGGCTTACACATAAAAACCAAAAATGGTAATTAAGTACAAGCACCGCTATCAAAAAGAGATGATAGCCCTACAATGCTCAATACTTCAACATCTTTGTCTTTGGAACGGTAAGGATTCTTTCAACACTGGCCATACAGATTAGCAGCAATAAGACTGAGATAAAAATAATAATCTGCAATACTTGATGCTAATGGCCTTTTTCCTTCCAAGCTTTTATGTTACCACAATTTTAAATAGTTAAGAATGTAAATTTGCTGTTAGATAAACCCAGGTTTGGCACCCTCAAAGGATATACTTTGCCCAGTTAATGAACAACTACTTTGAATAAAGCTTTTTATCTGATGCTAAGAAAACCAAGACAATGAAGCTCACAGTCTTGTGAGAAAAAAAAAGAAAAAACAAAAAAACCACCTGGCTATAAAAAGACATGTGTAACAGATGAAAAAGGAACCAAGTGCTGGAGTTGCATAAGAGGGCAACAGTGGGTTCTGCGTGACTGGGAGTTTCACAGTGGAAGGGTCATACAGTCATAGAGACATTGAAGTATGGGTAGGATTACTATTGACAATAGGGAGAGGATTATGGATAATTCTGCAAGAAATACCATGAGAAGACTCAGAGATAGAATTAGATACATGTAACTAAATTTGTGAAAAATGATACTGAGAAATGAGGAAGAAGAGAATGGCAAAGAAAAAGTCTGGAAAGATACACTGTGAAGACTTTTTTCATGGAACTCTAAACTTTATTATTTATTTTTCTAAAATGGTACTCAAATATTTCTTACTAACTCTTATGAAGAATATAACATGTTTCTATTCATCAACTTATTAAAATATAATTTTGAAAACAGTATATACATCTAAAGATGTATGGTATATCTTAAATTTTTAAGAAACGATAATAATGAACATATACTTTAACACAAGTATCTCTGTGGTTATAAAAGAAAAATAAGACAGGAGGTATGACCAAATAACCAAAGGGGAATAACAAACTGTTAAAGGCAAATATTATTTTCAAAAGCAGTAAGCATCTTTAGAAGGCAAGAATTATGAAGGGGGTTCATCCATTCATTATCCTCACAAGGAAATGCCTAAACAGATAATGGAGAAACTAGTATGAAATATACTTTGTTTAAAGGGTGATAAACCACTTTAGAAATTAATATCTCTTCAATCAAAAGATATATGGCTAAGATTTAAAACGTTTATCAAACCCAAATATTATAAAATCCCCCCACATACACTTTTTTTGTTTTGTAAGAAAAAAGAAAATGGTCCCAAGTAAGCAGTCTCCCAGAAGAAATGGGGCTAAATCCCAAGTTTAAGATCAGAAAATAATTCAAATCAAACTCACTTTAGGAGTTGTTTTAAAAATCAAGGTTGGGCCTAGCAGGGCATGGCTCAATGGTTGAGGATCGACCCAGGATCCAGGGGATCGCAGTTAAGTTCCCAGTCAGGGCACATGCCCATATTGTGGGCTAGATCCTCAGTTGGGGGGAGTACAGGAAGGAGCTGATCAGTGACAACTCTCTCATACTGATGTTTCTATCTCTCTCTCCCTCTCCCTTCCTCTCTCTGAATTCAATAAA